CATGAGTGGGGTCACCACCTCACTACGCTTCCCGGGCCAGCTCAACGCTGACCTCCGAAAGCTTGCTGTGAACATGGTCCCTTTTCCCCGCCTCCACTTCTTCATGCCCGGCTTTGCCCCCCTGACAGCCAGAGGCAGTCAGCAGTACCGGGCCCTGACAGTGCCCGAACTGACTCAGCAAATGTTTGATGCCAAGAACATGATGGCAGCCTGTGATCCACGACATGGGCGCTACCTGACCGTGGCCACTGTCTTCCGGGGCCCCATGTCCATGAAGGAGGTGGACGAGCAGATGCTGGCTATCCAGAACAAGAATAGCAGCTATTTTGTGGAGTGGATCCCTAACAACGTCAAGGTGGCTGTGTGCGACATCCCTCCTCGAGGCCTCAAGATGGCCTCCACCTTCATTGGTAACAGCACAGCCATCCAGGAGCTGTTCAAGCGCATCTCGGAGCAGTTTTCTGCCATGTTCCGCCGGAAGGCCTTCCTGCACTGGTTTACAGGAGAGGGCATGGATGAGATGGAGTTCACAGAAGCGGAGAGCAACATGAATGACCTGGTGTCTGAATACCAGCAATATCAAGAAGCTACAGCCAATGATGGTGAAGAAGCTTTTGAAGATGATGAAGAAGAGATCAATGAATAGAAGAGTGCCCCTGTGTCAAATATGACAATGCAGATTTTCTTTAACTTTGATGTGTCTTAATTGTAATGGCCAGCAAATGATGAACTGGTCTTAATGTATGGGTGCAGGCCCCTCCCAAATGCAATAAAATTGTACCCAGTCATCTAGAATAAAGAAAGCACATTAAAAAAGAAGAGAATTGGCAGTCCAACCCAGCCATATCAGACTAGCAACATTTTCTACTGGAGGATTTAAAAGAAATAATGGGCCACCAATAAAGGGCTAAACAAATAAACCTCACCTTCTATTAAGAGTTCAATCATGTCTGAGAATTAGCAGAGAAGTGTTTTTTTATCCTTTGAAATGAAGCTGTGCAGTGTTGCCTTATATTGAAAATGCAATATTAACCTTTGAAACAATTTATTCATAATAAAAGTTTTGTTTCTTCCAGCCTGTTTTATGATTTGTTACTCTGCATCATTTCAATGGTTGCTTAGATCTCTAGTGCCTTGCTGAATGAACTGCCCCTGCAGCTCACTGAAAGAACTGAGGAAAGAGGCTTTTCTTGAATTGCAGGCTTTAAGGGTGGTAGACAGAATTCTGAGCCTAAAGGTAATAATGCATGTGTAATGAACAGCCCTTCATCCACATTTGCAACCAGCATTTAGACTTCCCACAGAATTTGCCACCTCCCTAGGTTATATCTTGGGCTAGTAGGTCCCAGCCTTCCCTGACAACTCAGCTGAGATTTGCCAGAGGAGCCACAGAAAATTACTTGCACGCTTCTAGCAAGCCCTTGGTGGGTGAGAGTAGGGTAGGTTTCCAAGATCTGCTGAGCTTCCATGAGTTCTCAGACCAGGAACCCAGGCCACTGGCCCAGCCCAGAAGGGAGGGTGAAGTTTTCTGTGCAACAAATCATTTTTATGGTTCCTGTAAAGTAGCCACAACTTCTCTAAGAGGTCTTGCAAAGTAAAATTCCATAGAACAGGACCAGGCTATTATTAATAATTAGCAAACATTGCCAAAATTAGCTGTGAACCTGTGATTTTGCTTTAGCCAAAATTATGTGAGTGGATGTCACTTCCAGGTAGAAGCAAATGTTAGTGGTTGGCTCTGTGCTCTGCCTCCCAAGTGGGGACCCCAATTCCTCCTGTAGATGACCCAGCATCTCCACTGGTAACTGCTGAGCGAAGCCCCCTGACCTTTGTTGGACAAGAAATAAGCCTTTGCCATTTGCAGCCAAGATCTACGGCCACCTTACAGCATGACCTAGCCCCACCTGGTGCTGTGATGCCACAGCTCACATGCAGTAACTGCATTTATTTTGTGCCAAGTAAGCCCCAGCCTTGAGAAGACAGCAGGAATCTGAACTATTCTGTAAAATTACGGTAAAGAAACCTTGCCACCGCCAACTAACCTGGAAACATGCTACTAGGTTTGATTGACCTTGAAGGAGAAAAGGTGCTGGGAGCACCTGCTGTGAGCCACACTCGGTTTAGGTCCCAACAAAGGTAATGCTCACAACAGTGCTAGAGTACAGGTGTGACCATGAGGAGGCCTGCTGGAGGCCGTAGGTGTGGGTTACCATCTGACTCAGTCTCTCACACAGCTTTGTCAGTTTTCTTACTGAATCAACATGACTCATGTTTGGCACAACTCACTTCCACCCAGAAGCCTCCCAGCTGAGGCCAGCCAGAATAGCATACACCGGTACCTCTGCAATGGGATGGGAAAGGAGTACAGAGTATCTTGTCTCTTCGTTGTCTACTGCTTATGTGGAGAACAATGCACTAGACATCCTGATAGTGTGAGTCCTCTTGCAGCCTTAAAACAATTCTTCACTCAACTACTTCCCACAAGCATCCTGAGGAAAGGAGGCAGTCTGTTTGTGACTTCTGCATGTCACTCACTGCTAGAGGAGCTAAGACACTTCAAGTGTCTCCTATGATGATGAGTTAGTGGTCAGAAGAGCTGCTCCTGTGTCAGGTGAGCTGGAGTTTGGCATCTTTGGGACAACTGGAAGAGTAGTCACAAGATAGAGCAGCCTGCCTGAGCCACCCCTCATCCCACTAGCCCAGTGCAGTGGAGATGCCACAGATTCTGTGTCTTAAATCTGAGGAGTCATCATTCCCACAACATATTTAACTATATCAAGAACACACAACGCATGCTGGAATAACACTGAAGGAGGCTGCTAAAATATGTTAATAAATGCAGAAATGTATGGTACCTCCAAATCCAAAGAGTGACATTTTTAGACTTAGTACATCTTCACACCATCTTTTGGTAAGAATTCTGACCTAACCTAGGTTTGTAACATTGCGGACCACTTTTCTGGAAGTGCACACACCCTTCCAATACTACTGGTAACAGCTTATAATTCACACCTGGGAAGCCATTCAGAGCACAGGGGCCGCCCTAGCTTATTGTCACTGCCCTTCTCCGAAATCCAGTTAATGGCTTGGGGCAACCTGCCACACCCACTATTATTACACACTTACTTCCAGACCCAGACAATGTGACCAACACATGGTGATGATTAGTCTAGTAAGGGTATAAACTGATGCCATTATCACAGATTTTTGTACTGAGTTGGTATCAATATACTTTACACCCCGAGGTCATTCCAGGACACACAAACCTAGAAGTTACTCATTGTCTTATGGGAGCTGAGAGAACCAGAAAGACCAACATTTTGTTTTCTAAAAGAAAGCAGTCTAAGCATAAACAGTGGCCCTCTCTGTGGTCAGAAGAAAAGAAGTACAATGTTTACACTTTATTTTTGATGTAAAGAAGCCATATTTACATAATACATTCATATTTTAAATATGTTACAGCTCTCTGTAGAAAACCATTCCATTAAAACAGCAACATGTGATCTGGATTCAATCTTTAAAGTATTAGTCAAATTAAAATATTCGTATCAGGACTCTTTTAATTTCACAGCCTTCAAAGGAAAATGGGAATGAAGAGTGGGGTGATGCAAAGTGAGATGCAGACCTTTTCCATGTGGCGGGCTCTCAGATTCTCTCCACTTCACACGTTCAGCTGGCTTTCACTGACGGTGGAGAGGGAAGACTGCTGGGATCCGATCTCCACTCTTCCAGGGGCTATCCAAGGGCCCAGGGCCTTGGGGAAAACCACCCTGCCACCCCTGCAGGGATTTCTGAAGCTGAGGGTTAAGTACTCCTCCTCTTCCCACCACTTCAACTGGTTAGCAGCTGGTTAAATCAACTTAGCAGTGTTCCCATTCTCCCAAGAAAGCCAGAGTTGAAATAACGTGCAAACCGAAACCACAATACAAGCTAAAACGGCCTCCCTCCTCGGATCTGATTGGCAATTTTCTCATCTGGGGCCTCCTCTTTCTCCTTTTCCCGCTCTTTGTTCCAGTCTTTCAAGCCCTCTGGAAGTGAAGTGTCTTCATCCAAGCTGCCAGTGCCTTCCACAAATTCTTCATAGGTAGATTTTTCTGCAAATGGTCTGGGGCCCAAAAGTTCAATCATATCACTCTTATCTAATACTTCTTTTTCTAATAATAGAAGAGCAACCTGAAACATAAACAGTTCCTATTTAAATAGCTACTCGGCAAAGTCTATTCAAAGTTAATGTTTTTATTTATACCCAACCTCATCCTCAAAAGGGTTTAAAACCACTGAAAAAGATATACATAAGGTCACATAATTTTGGAGTAAGATGTGCAAAATACTGGAAAAACAAATGTTGTCCATCAGTAAGGCAGTCACTAAATACATTTGGTACACCCACACAATGAACAATTATGCACCTATTCAATGAAAAAGGTGAGATGCATAATGTCTATAATATGCTAATTTGCTTTTTAGGAGGGAAATATATCTTTTAGTGATAAACCAACTTTTATATGTGCTGCCACCTCATTTCACATGTTTTTCCTTACTGCTACCTTTTAAAATTAGATCTATTTTTAAATAGTAATCATCTTCTGCCATCTGTGGAACACATTTTTTTGCATTCAACTAAAGATTGCTTACATCATTTTCATAAGCATGTCTGCATCCACTTAGGTTTATACAGGATGAAATTATAATTAGATACTGCTGCCTGCACTATTTTTGAAAAATTATATTTTCCCATTCTTTTTTGCATATTTTCCCATTTCATTAGATTTAGACAGAGACCTGTGTAAATGTGGTTACATTACATTTTTTAAACATCTTTTCTTTTAGTTCATTATATTTTTTAACTTAATTTTGTTTAATAAGGTTGTTTTGAATCTACTATACTTAATCTGGTTTTATTTTCCTTGCTATTCTTACATTCTATTTATATAATGTTTTAAAATTCCATTTTCTAAAAATTGGTTTCTTTATAAATGCACAGCTTTGTGGAAAAAAAAAAAAACATGGAACACAGCACAAATCTGCGTGTCATCCTTGCACAGGGGCCATGCTAATCTTCTCTGTATCGTTCCAATTTTAGTACTGCCATGTGCTGCCAAAGCAAACACAGGAAAATATATCTTTTTATGTGTGTATATATACATAAAGAAATTCTGGAAGGGTACATAAGTAAGTGGTGGGAGTAGGGGTGTTGGGGCAAAGGACAGAAATAGAGTGAACAGGAAATTTCAAAAGTTAGTCCAAAAATAATAAAGACAAACAAGGGCAAAGATACAAAATGAAACCAGGAAAGTAATATGAAAATATGAATCCTGAAGTTCTATTCATTTGTATGGCTGAATCACAAATTTGACACTACACATTTTAACGGGTCACCGCAAAAGGGACACCTGACCAAATTACATGCATGGAAGTGAGTGATGGTGTCAGGGGAGCAGGGAAGAGAGGTTATGTTAGAGCATCTGACCCTTTCAAGGAGAACCAAGTGGGTTACACTGTAAACTGATCTCATAAAATAGATTAGTAGGTAACTCCCTAAGAAATTTAACATTCTGTAGTTTACATTAAATGCTGTTTCTAAAGATTCCAAATTTTAAAAAGAACAATTTTCTGCTATCTTTAAACTTTTAAAAAGTTTATTAGGGAGTTTTCAAATGTACAAAGGTAGAAAAAACAGGTAACTAATCCCCACATAACCACTATCAATAGTTATCAACTTAGAGCCATTTTTATTTCATTGACTCCCTGGTTTATTTTAAAGAAAATCCCAGATGTCTCATTTTATCCACACATACTTTTGTCTATATCTTCAAGAGATAAAGATTCTTAAAAAAACATAGCCAGAATACTAAAACAGCCTAACTTTTAAATATATTGTATATGTAAGATATGAAAAAATAAAAGCTTTAGGATTTATTCTTAGACCATCTTTATTTCTTAAATTTGCCTATTTACACAATTGCAGCTAACCACTTAAGTTGTGATAATTATTATTTTATTTAACTATTATTATTATTTTAACTATTAACTATTATTATTTTTATTTAATTATTTTATTTATTGTTATCATTTTATTTAACTCAATATATCAAAAATATTGTCATATCAGTATGTAATATAATGATATTAAGAATAGCTGATATATTTTACATTCTTTTTTCATACTAAGTCTTCAAAACCCAGTGTGCATTTTATGCTCACAGTACATCTCAATTCAGATTAGCCACACTGACAGCACAGGCTTGGTTAGAAGTTAATGACAAGGGCTCTGCAGACAGGACATCTGGGTCCAAATCCGGTCCTGACACTTACCAACTGCCTGATGACCTTAAGCAAAGTTAAGCAACGTTGTTTCTTTATGTATTAGTTTCTTTATCTGTAAAATGGGGGTAATAATGTAGTGACTTCTTGAGGTTTCAGGGTATTTTAAGAGAGTTAATACATCTTAGGCAGTACCTGATATGGATAAGGTACTACGTGAATGCTAGCTGATTACTGTTTTTCTCCTAAAGCTTTCCCTTAGAGAACAATTTGTCCAACTCCTTAGCCCATAGATGAGTAAACTGAGGCTCAGAGTTAGGAAGGCACTAGCCATAGCAGCAAAGGATCCAGCCACCTCTCCTCTTCAATTTTTAAAAAAATTTTATTCATTTATTTTTAGAGAAAGGGGAAGGGAGGTAGAAGAGAGGGAGAAAAACACCAATGTGAGAAAGAAACATCGATCGACTGGCTGCCTCCCATATGCACCCCAACCAGGGACTGAACCAGCAACCCAGGCATGTGCCCTGACCAGGAATCAAATCAGTGACCTTTTGCTTCGCAGGATGACACCCAACCAACTGAGCCACATCAGTCAGAGCAGGCACCTTTCCTCTTGATGGCTCCTGGCTGGCACATTATTCTTAAATATTTAATATTCTCTGATGGACCAGGCAGAATCTCAGAACTCTGTGGTGTTTCAGGATCCTCACTCTGTTGAACTAATTTTCCCTTCACAAACATGTATTTCTTTGTTACCATTGTCAGGACATGTACTACACAGATGGAAGGGTAGACAACCAGGTGTAATTTCCAGGATCCATTTGAGCATCTATGGCATGCATGTGGACTTCCTATACTCATACACTATTCTCCTAGAGCTAGTCATCTCAGTTGAGCGCTTCCACCCTACATTGTCTTTTACAGCTCATTTCTTCTTTTCCACAATTGAAGGGGGATAACCAACAAACCCTATATCTGGCCTAGACCTCCTATCCATATACCACTTGCAAATGCCTACTGCTCATGCCCTCCTGGGTGTCAAGACTGAATCCCTCCCCCATCCCAGGCAGTGTCTGCCACTAGGAAGAGTCCTGGAGACATCCTAAGGGCTTTCCTCCTATTCATTCTCTACTTTAAATATCTAAAAATCTCTTGGTTTTTTAGATCTGCCACCACCAGCACATCTCAGGAATGTCAACACATGCCTGCAACAGCTCTGAGGTGGTCTCTGTCCTAGTCTCTTCCATCCCACTGGGAGTGGCACACTGCTGCCACACTCTCCTTTTAAATGATGAACTTGAATCACTTCCACCCAAGACTTTTTTAAGGACTCCCTACCATTAAAAAAGGGGGTTGGATCAGACTATTATAAAAGTCACTTTTATTCTGATAATTGTGTTTCTAAATTTTCTAACTAGCTTTTGAGGACTTGGGTACTGCAGTCCTCCTTCCCCCCACTGTCTGTCTGGTCAAGGCAGGCCAACTCAATCCTGCCCTCCTCCCCAAACGCTTCCTTGCTCAAGTTTCCACACTGAGAGCTCCTTTCTTTCCCATTGACTTTAACCTGACTATCCTTCAAGGTCAAGTGTAAGCCCTATGTTCTATGTAAAGCCTTCTCTGACCACTCTGGTCTTTCCTTACTTGGAGCCACTGCTGTATGCTTTCTAGTGTTTCACAGACACTAGCTCTCTCCCCAATTACACTGTGTACTTTTCTGAAAAGATGTCATGGATTTTTAGAATTACATGGCACAGGGCGGGTTCACAGGAGGCTTTTCTGAAGACTTGCTTATGAATAGCCTACTTTAGAATATTCTTCTATCTGTGTCAATCCTTTATAGGGCTTTTTCATTTGTGTTTTTCTCATTTGAGTGTGGAATGTTCAAAAAACAAAAAATTCTAATTTTGGTTGCAATGGATTTGAAAATTAAGAGTGCATTGGATGCAAGAAATCCACTGAATTCAAAAAGGATCTGCCACTTTTGCACGTGCTATTCAAATAAGGTACAACAATGAAAACCATGAAGCAGATTTACTCGTGAATGCTCCGAATTAAGCCAATGTAGTTTTCATGTGCTGACTTCTACTTAGTAAGTTTGGCTAATTCTTTTATGTGCCCTTTCATTTGTCATTCTGGAGGTGAAAAACAATGGTAAATTTCTATCACTCCATTGTGCTCCATATTTAGGAATGCAGCAGAGCCTTGAATAACGTTGTTTTGTTCAGCACTGCTTGTTATAACAGTAACAAGAGGCCATAGGAACTTAATTCTTGTTTAGATCAATTAGCCTATGGTAAAACTGGTTTCATGATATGTCATTTCACTTAAGGTTGCAGAAACTATCAACAACATTAAAGTAAGGATTTACTGTATTGGTAAAATACTTGGTGGAAAAAAAATACTTGGTAGGAAAGAGTGTAGATTAAATTGTTCATTGGGTAGTTAATAATAGACTTCATTAATCCCTCACTCATATTCTTAAGAGCCACAACAGCCAGGATCATTACTGGTTTTGCTCACCACCACATTTTCACCATGTCACAGGGACAAAACAGACACAGAAACATCAGAGTGAAGGAAGGAATCCAAAAGTTAGCCAAGTACGGGAAATGCTAATGTCTATAAACTAAGCAAAAGAGTAGATCATCACTTTAAACTTTTTTTTGCAAAACTGTGTATAGAATCATTTGTACAACTGGCACCTACCTTCTCCACGTCAGCTTTCTTTTCTGTGAGAAGAGCTACTGTTCTTTTATAAGCATCATTAATAAGTATTCGTACTTCGTCATCGATCAGTCTTGCAGTGGCTTCACTGTAAGGTTTCTCTAATACCATATCACCCTGACGCGGGAGGTCAAAGGAGATTTGCCCAACCTTTTCATTCATGCCAAACTGGACAATCTGAAAAAGAATACATCATTAGTAGTATACATCCATTTTTGGTGATAGGCTAACATATTTTTATAAAATGCCAGTAAGTCTTTACAACGACATTAACTCCACACACTTCACTGTAATACTGCTCTTTAACCTGGCAAAATCTACATGGCAGTCTTGAGTAGGCTGAGTGGACAAGAGTGTTCTGTGTAGATATAGGCAGCAATGAATAGTGTCTCAAATTCCTCAATGAGGAATACAAGAAGCCCACAGACAACATCTACAACAAAATCAGATGAGAAACAGGTGAGGATAAATCCCAACAGCTATAAAACCTGCAAGATTCTACCCTCTGCATGAAGGGAAGTAGAAAAGAAGCAAAAAGCTTCTGACAGATCTAAGAGTAAGAATCTCAAACCCTCCAGGTTCTTCCTACAAAGAGTGTCACATCACCTTGAGAACAACCAACTCTGGAAGGGGCGTATGCATTTTTCTGTTCCGAGTCCATGGGGCTAGGAGACTATGTGAAGAGGCTGGCACAGTCTGGGCCATAGCTAACCAAAATAAGCCTTACATTAAGAAGAAGCTTCTGGATTATCAACAAGACAAGTAAAAACAAGTGTTGGAGAGGTTGTAGAGAAAAGGAACCCTCATTCACTGCTGGTAGGAATGCAGACTGTTACAGCCACTATTAAACACAGTATGGATATTCCGCAAAAAATTAAGAACAAAGTTATCATATGACCCAGCAACCCCTATTTTGGTATCTACCTGAAAATTTGAAAACATTCACAAAGATATATACAACCCTATGTTCATTGCAGCATGACTCACAGTGGCCAAGACCAAGTGTCCTTCAATAGAGGACTGGATAAAGAAGATGTGGTATACACATACTACTCAGGCATAAGAAAAGATGAAATACTGTTTAGCTACAAGATGAAGTACTGCTATTTGCAACAA